CGAGCGCAATCTCCCTCTTGGCCGGTCGCATTAACGGCCGGAGGTCCTCCCTCTGCTCACGCCATTGTTCGATGGAATTTGTAATTTAGATTGATACCGGGGCCATGACTCCGATCCCTCGACGGGCGAGCGACGCTTTCGAGAAATCGTCCCGCGAAACCCGTTGCCATCACGCGCTGCAAATAATTCGTCGCAGTCCGCGAAATTTATGATACCGTAACGACGATGGTGAAATGTTTCGGAGAATTCGTCCCAATAAAGTCAACGAGTCACTCCTACGTAATCACGCAGTAGACAAATGCGGAATACCATCCATCGAATAAAATCACGACGGACCGTAGCCAACGAGATGATAAGGGTGAGAAGTAAGAAATAAATAACTTAGCAAGATTACATAAATTTCTATTTGCTCACATATAAACAAACTATGTACATATATATTTTCAATTAAGTAATATTTCTCTTGCTCAGAATAAAACTAGAATATCAAAATGTTGATGATGATGTGCGATATTTCATATTTCTCTCTCATCTTTTCCTATTGTCTCATTGCTCGCAGCTCGCTGTGTTTACTTACTATAAATAAACAAATTTTGGGAAATTCAATTCAAGGTTTCGTTACATTTAATACAGAGATGTCTATTTACCCTTACAGAACATTTAATTTCTTGATCACTGTAATTTTTGTGATTCAAAGGAAGACTGCAAAAAAAGAGATTTTGAAAGTCTTGTTCCATCTTTCAGATTTTAAATACCTGAAAGTTCTCGCAAGTCTCGACAGATCCTCGCAGGTGACTGCGGCGCGTATCGCGTCCGTCCCTGCACCGCGGGGGGAAGCCGGTTTGTGGTTTCTCGCGAAATTTATGATGATTAAACGTCGGTCCGACTAGAGGTGCGACGACTTCATTGACCTACCCACATCCATCGCGGTCTCCTCGGTACAATTGGATTATGTATTTTATGCCGCGCTGCAGCTACGCGAACGACTCGTGCTGATTGCCGATCGCGAGAAGAAGGAAGGCACAGGTGAATGTTACGCGTGTCAAACAAAACTTTCCTTGAGACGTTCTCACGTCACGATAATTATTAGCAGCAGACATTTTTACAACTGGCGACCGCAATGAATGGATTTGCGAACAAACGCCCCCCCCCTCTCTCTCTA